AGGTGGGGGTGCGCGGGAGGTAAATTAAATATTGAGATTAGTCATCTGATTCCATACATATTATAAGTGAACCTCTAAAACAACACAATAAAATTGAATAATTGCGTGTGTTCCTGGAGAAAAGTCCCAGTTGTCGACAAACCTGTTTTTGAGCAACGAAGTGAAAAGGCCAAAAAAAAGTAATGCTTGTCAAAAATTTTAATTTTATATCTAACATTTTAAAATTAATAATAATTTTGTACTTCACCAAAGGTTTAAAATATACTAGAAATTGGTAAGGTTAAGCCGTTTTTCTCCAAAGGTTGTTTTCATACCTAGTGTAACAAAATGTGTCGTATCTATTATTATCTATAAAGACCACCCAAGACATCTGAAAAATTTTTAAGTCAGCGTGTTCAGCATTGAATTGCTACAAGAATATATGTGAGGCAGCGTGGTGGAATCAGGCTCTCGTCAAAATTATCAAAGTGAAGAAACTTGCATTTTTCCGCAGGTTTGTGTATTTTATCAAATTTGTGTTTTTGGCTCATCACCTTTCATGCCCATTAAAGAACTTATTTCTGTGTGACTTTTTCTGAAAAACGTTGATTAAAGCCACACAAAATGTACATTTTCAGTAACCACGGACTCTTAAGTTAAGGAAATAACTAATCTTTGGCGGCCATTTTCTCACTTATTTCACCTCTGAAAACAGGTGACCTCTACCTCCTTCTTTCGCAATTATCTCGACTTGAATTCAAGATGGATATTTTTTCCTCAAAATAAAGACAAGTGGACAAGCTTAAAGATGATACCAATAACTCTACAAGCCCAAAAATTGACGAGAGCCTGGTTCCACCACGATGCCAAACATACCCTTATTTCAATATCCAAAACTTCCTTCTGCTGGGACCTTTCTCTAGGCACACACACGAATTTACAAGATTATTGTGTTTGTGTTTTAATTGTCTCTCTGTGGATGTGTGGCCTTGCTTTGAAGACCATACGTTCTTTGTGGGGTGTAAGATCGACCCCCCAAACTGTAACAAATAAAATGATTTCTAAAGCACAGCGACAAAGATCTCGACGATAAACGAACACACTGGAACTGAACACGATCTCAAACAAACATCAGGCCCCGATGCTCAGCCCGAACAATCGTATGAAACAAAGAAAATCTGTTTTAGTACTGCATTTGAATGTTACGAGCAAGAAATTATTCGGTAGCAGTTTGGTAAAAATATTTACATAGTGCGGTCAAAAATTCAAGGCGCAATATATTGTCAATTTATATTTCTTCATCTAGCAAACATAAAGTCTCTCGCTTTTGCACAATGGCTTATATCAATTTGTCTAAACTGATCAATATTATTAGAAACACATGTTAGATCTAGCTGTATTCTAGAAAATTCCGTAATAAATACTAATTAAAAATTCAAGTGGGTGGTTTCCAAAGATGTTAAAAGGTACAGCCGGGACAATATCGCTTTTAAAAGCAAGTCCGTTCTTCTTTTTTTTAAACACGAGATTATGTTTGTTGAACGCACGTTCTGGGAACCCTTACGGTGAAAAAAAAAAGTGTCCACTACAACAGTAATTTCTCGTGACTATAGTTTTGTCACTAAAAGGTGTCATTGGTGAGGTGTGGCGTAGGCCATACTCGTACGCAGAATGTGTGTGAGAAGTGGGAAGTGCTGTGAACAATTCCATTTTCCGCGTGGCGGAGATTTATAGGATTTTATGCATTATAATAATTTATGAAAAAAAATAGTTTTCCAATCTAGCCTCAATTGTTGTGAAAATATATGATACAGCAAAAACAAATTGATGCAAACTGCAGTGCAAAGTATGGGTGATACTGATTCACCCGTTTAAGAGATGTATTTGAGGATAAGTTGCACCACGAATTTTTCACCGCACTATAATCAATATGCGCATAATATAAATATCAAACTTTTCTAGTTATTGGTTCTTCTTTTCCTTACAGAGTGGGGACCGGCTGGCATCCGAGTGAATTCTGTCAGGTAAGAGAAGGTCACATAGTCACATAGGTATAGTTTATAAAGAACAACCCGTGAAAAGTTTGGGTCGGTGGTACTCAGGAACTCTGTCTGATAGGAGTCAAGGCGTGGAAATCATGAAGCAGGCTGAAAATGGGCTGAAAGCAATTGACCAGACAAAGCTTCCAGGAAAGCACAAGATATGGTGTCTACAGTTTGCCCTCTA